TCTCTATATTTTAATCTGATTTATATTGATATTTTCTGTAGTTTCAATGTGCTTATACCTATATTATGATTCATGGTTCAGATGAAGAGCTTAATGATCTAATTCATATGCTTGATAGATTATAATTCAGTTTACTAAATTAACATAACGTAAATAATTGTGTGTTTACTTGTTTAAACTTATTGGAGTCTATTTTTAATGTGTTGCTTCTTTGGAATATCTGAAACCATATATGAACTCCTTTAAATACTTGTTACAGGATAGCTAGCAAGATTAAATGTAAAGTTTAAAAAGTATCTAGAACCAAGCCCTCCATTGCATATATATAGTCTAGTTTATAAAAAAATAATGTCAACAGGCGGTTTCATTTCATATAATGGAAGAGTCTGATACTATCTTCAAAGCACACTCAATTACTTAAGTGTGAAATTGTTCACCATATGCATAAGTGTATTATCCCCTCCATTTTTTCAAACTCTTGCTACCAATTCTTCAAATTCAACAACTCAAATATTAGTTGTATTATCTGCCATTGTCAATAAAAGAGTTAACAATATTAATTTATTTAAAGTATTTTTAAATATTATAATTATTATAAATCTTTATAAAACAAAGTTAATTGGATAGTTTAATATTCTAAAATAAACTAACTTAAATAATTAAAGCCTATTTCCCATCTAAAAAACTTATGTCTTCTTCTCCTTCTTTATAACTTTGTGTAACTTGTTACTGGGTAGTTTGACATTTAATCCCTCATCATTTGAATGTGTTGGTCCAACTCCAACATGTTTGCCACTATTGGGATATAACTTTCCAGTCAAATCAATCACATCTTCATTTTTGTGAAGAAAGCACAATCTGAAATGCTATTTTTGATAGGTGTCTGAAAATAATTTAAATACATACATAATTTTGTAATTTATGTGTGTTGAATAGTTATACACATAATGTAAAATAACAAACTATGTTTTAAAATCTGAAAAGTTTAAAAAATGAAATATAGGTTGAATTAAATTATATACCTCAATTAGTTTATCTTCATCATAGCTCTGTCCACAATCAAGGGTTGCCTCCTATTTAAAAAATTTTAGTTAATTTATTTATATGACAATTATAGTTAAATTTTAATAATATAGACACATACATTCAAATTGTGTATAAGAGAAGGATGACAATATTCCTTTAGTAATGCTTCATCATCAATGAACTTTACTACTTTGTAAACATTATCATTCTTGTTAATGTTTGAATCCTTAATCTGGACTTTAAACATGAGCCTTTTCTCAATCAAAGAATCAAGTTCTATTGGATAACCCATGTCAGCATCTCCTATTAATCCTGCCTTCAACTCATTGGCAGTCTTTCCAATTAATTGTAGAACCTCTTTATTCCACAACAATAATGATATAAATCTAGTTTCATCAGTAACATGAATTTGAAGTCGATACCTAAAGTGTATAAAATAGAGTGTTATATAAATTGTAGTTAAATTTTAAAAATCTATATTGTTTGCTCCAACCTGTGAATAACAGATATAGCTTCAGCATTGCATTTTACGCAATAATATTTGTCTCCCAAAGGATCAACCTTTGTGATACACTTATTGCAAGCCAAGTATGACCATCTGTGACCAAGTTTCAAACAAACAATCTTTACACCAATTCAATAGCTAAACTCCTGTGAGTTAAATCATAATGTTTAGACAATTATATGTACTATAAAAAATATAGATTATAATTAGTAATATAATATATACAACTCACTTCAGTGCATTGAAGGAAATCCCTAATAAATTTAAAAGAGACCATTCCTGTAGACAACTTCTCAGAAATTGAAATATGTTGTTGTGAACTTGTTTGTGAAACCTTCTCATATTCACCTGATGCAATTAACATGTAAATTTATCATAAAATAGTAGTTATATAATTTGTTAATTTTAATTCATTTGGAGTACTTAATAATACAGATGAATTGTCAAACTTGTTTTTAAAATTCGAAAATTGTGGTAGATCTGCATTAATCCATAGTTTGGTCAACAACTACGAATAGAATAGATATCTGTAAAATAATTTATAAGATTTATTAAGTTAGATAAATATATTTGTAATAATGATAAACAATAGTTTAACAAAATAAAAGCTTTAAAATTCGTACCTCTAAATTTGTGTGTCTTCATTAATTGAAGAACAACAATTAATGGTTCATCTGTCGATCCAGATAAATGTGATTGCATTTGAAATGCGAGATCACCCCATAAAGGGGCAGGAAGCTTGTTTCTCCTACATAAACAGTGTTGTGAAAATGATAAATTTAATTATTATTTCTCCAACATAAACAATGTTGTGAAAACGATAAATTTAATTATTATTATTATTATTATTATCATATAAGATAATATAATTATTATTATAATATATAATATAATAATAATATAATGATATATACCCTATTAAATGTAAATTGTTTAATAATACTTACTGCTCATCTTCTACAACAATATTCATGAAAGAACTATTGTTGCTTCTTTCTTTGACAATTGAATTGGTTCATATGAGACAACATGTCCAACAACTCTTAAAAAATTATGAAATTCTTAGTTATAATATTTACAGTATAATGAAAAGAACTATATAATAATATTATTATTTACCAATTAGTTGATTCTCGTCGATCTTGTGTTGAATTTCCACTTCTTCAAAAGTGCGTAGCTTAAAAACATCCATATGAAAAGATGAATCTTCAATTTCAATCACAATAGTATTCTGAGTGAATGTAAGCTTGTGTTTATGAGAATTTGATTTAAATTTCGAGTGATAAGGCGCTATCACAAAATATTTCATCTCATATAAACCATGATCATAAATCTTGTCTCTAAAATACTTTATTGTGAACTTATCAATAGATGCATGTATTCGATCACCCTATATGAAAACAAAATTTTGTATAATCATTAATATTAAATGTATAATAGAATTAGAGAATAACATTAAAAACACAAATTTAAATTAAATCATACCTTTTCATTTGGCAAAATCAACTCCATAGTATACGGAATATCAGGCTTGTATTTATTGGGCACTGTCCAAAAACGAACATCGCGAACTTTTAAATTCCAGTTCATTGAGTTATTGGTAATTTCAGATATTGTGTTATATTGCGAAGCCATATTTTGTAATTTGAAAGTTGACAGAAACATGTTTAGTTTGAAACAAATGGTATCTATATATAGGTACATAGTACGTGATTTGAGAAACAGTTTTTTCAAAAGTTAGTGGGAAGTTACAAAACTGCTCTTAATTTAAACTGCTCTAAATTTAAATCTGCTTTGAATTTTTTATTACAGAATTAGAGGTTAATTCAGATGCTGCCAGATATTGCTAACAAAGCTGTTTGGAACTGAAGAAGCTAACACGTCATTTATGCAATGAAACTGTATTAGATTTTAATATTAATACCACTATAGTGTTGATATTTTTTTACAATTAATTGTTAAAATTGATAAGTTGACAGACAAAATTATATCATGCTAATGATGACACGTGTTTATATTTATTTTAATTACAAATGTTAAATTAGTATTTAATTGAAAATATGACACGTGTAAATTTAAACTTCCTTCAATAATTTTATTTCAAATTTTTGTAAATTTAAAAATTGACACGTTGAATTATATCAAGCAAATGTTGACACATGTTAAGATGTTTTAATTAATTTTTATTTTAAATGTTAAATTAGTGATTAATTGATCCAGATTTGACACGTGCATATTAAATACTTCCTTTAATAAATTATTTAAGTTTTTTTTTTAAATCAGAAGTTGAAATGTGAAATTATATAATGCAAATGCTGACACGTGTTAATATTTGTTATAATAATTTATCATTTTTAAATGTTAAAATGAATGAATAATTAGAAGATGACACGTGCATGTTTTTTTTTTTTTTTGAAAATCTCTAACGTTTTCTTACGGATTTCCGTAAGAATATATATATATTTATTAATTATTAATTGATAATTAAAAAGTAAAAAAAGTGAGATTAATTGTGGCGCTGACACGTATGCGCTATCACCTCTCCTATTATATATATATATTATTTTATTTTGTATAGTTTAGAAGTATATAAATTTTATCATCTCTTATTATTTTATCGTTTTCTTTTATTCTTTTGTTTTTTTATAACCACTTCGCTCATAGATGAATGATTTACTTTTTTTTGTTAATCTAGAAACAATTTGTTCACGTCTGAGCGATTCACTTTTTTTAAATAAAAAATAAAGGGATAAGGGTCTGAAAAATATCTAATTTTGGCTGAAATTGTTTACGATATCAAACTTTAATGAGGACCTATTACCCCCCAGACTATTTAATACCGTATTTTAAACATATATATTTGCCCACGCGGACATTAAAAATAATGCAAAATTATAAATAGTAATGTGTCCACGTGGACACATATATACCTTTAAAATACACTATTAAATAGTTCAGGGGGTAATAGGTCCTCCATAAAATTTGACATCGTAACAACAATTTCGACCAAAGTTAAAATATTTTTCAGACCCTTATCCCAAACGACATTTGGCTCACAGTTGACCAATTTTTTTCCCAATAGCTTGTACATGAATGATTTGTTTTTTTCTTAATTTCTAAAATTCACTCGTTATTATATCGTTTGGCAGTAAGAGTTTTATTTATTTATTTATTTATAAATATGAGTGATTTTCCTTCAGTTTCATTCATTTGCCTTGTTCAAAATTTCAGTCATTTTTCTTACTCAAAATTCATTCATTCACCTTATTTGAAAATTCAACTTTATTCATTAACCAAAAAAAATTAATCTTTAGATTGTTGTTCTAATCATTTAAAATTTATTTGATATAAATTCATTTAATGATTCATATTATATTAAATTCAAGAATATATTAGTCCTAGTAAATATTGTGGATTAATATAATGAAATTAATTATTTAAATTTAAAAAATATGAATATAATTAAAAGTTCAATTACATTGGACTAATCCTTTGATTTGGGCTACAAATAATAAACCATCTTTACAAAAGCCCAATCCGACATATCACTTAAATCTGATTGAGCAAAAAAAACTTATTTTCATCATAACTCCTCTATTCTACAACAATAAATAGGGGTCCTCATAAATCAGAGATCACACAAGAATTCTAAAAAAAGCCAGAGAGAGCCTATGGATCAAACACCGCATACTTTCTACAGGCGACAAGTTCAAGAATTCAAGCTCACAAGCATTCAAGTTCAAGAACAACTCAAGATCAAGACCACCAGATTCAAGAACAAGCTCAAAAGTCATTGAATTCAAGTATAAGTCAAGAACAATTTCATCAAGATTTAAGATAAAGTTTGAAGTCCATTGAATCCAAGTACAAGTTCAAGAAAAAAAATTCAAGATTCAAGATCAAACCTAAGAGCCCTTGAATTTATATTTTAAAAGGTGAATAGAGATTGTAACGCTACTATTTTTAAAATCAAATAAATACGACTGTTGCCATATTTTTCAGCCTTGATTATTATTTTCTCAATACAAATTTTATTGTATATATATTCTGACACACCCAGTGGGACAATCTCTACCTCTCATCTCAACTTTTCAAGCATTAAATATTATCGAAATGACTTGGATGAAGATAAACTTTCAACCAACTGCCTCTAATACTGCTGACTCCAAGTTCTCTACTAAAGTAGAATGAATTCTTAATGTTATCTTTTGAAGTTTCAGAATTGTTAAGAGGTACAATGCCATTATATTGAGACAACAAACACTTTAAGTGTCATCTTCATTAACCAATAATTTTGGGTCTTCACCTCCAAAAGGAGAAATTTCACGCACAAATGCTTCAGAAGGAGGAATAAATGTTGCTGAAATGATAAAAAGAACCTTAACTCTACTTGCGCTCTCTTGTTCCAAGAACTCTACCATAAAAAAGAACTATGTTTCAACTAGTGAATCCCTCCTCATGCATCACATAATGTGAGTCCATTGAAACTCAACTTGAGCGACAATCCATGCTACTCTACTACGTCTCCAATGATTATGCAAGCAATGGTAACTGATACTTCATCCATGGAGGAACAACTTGAAAATCTGGGAAAGTTGATCAAATAATTGAAAAAATATATATACCACCAAGAGTCTTGAATTGATAAGTTTAGGGATATGATGGAAAAGGTTATTGAAGTTCAAGAGATTAAACATCATGTGAAGCAAGCACCATCTAACAAGGATATATAGTTTCTTCCGAAGGAATGGTCCAACTTGATAGTATGAAGGAGTTCATTGAAAGGACCATTAAAGATAGGAATGAAGTCTCCACGAAGTCTACTCATATGTATGCCAAATCGTACACTACAAGCATTGATATCCTCAAAATGTATGCCATTTATCAACATCACAAACTTCAACAATTAGAGTGTAAAGGAAATTTGAAGCAACATGTTGCACTCTTTGTGAGGACAAGTAATAATCCTGGAACAGATGAAGACTATCTTGTCAAGATGTTTGTCCGTTCTTTAAAAGGAAATGTCTTTGATTGGTGCACAAATATCGAGCCCAATTCTATCGATTATTAAGAGCAACTAGAGAAAGAGTTTCTTAGTCATTAATATAGAACAAGGCACACTCTGAGCATGGTAAAACTCACAAATACTTGCCAAATGAAGAATGAACTTGTTATAGACTTCATAAATCGATGGAGAAATGCGAGCCTAAATTGCAAATATAGACTTAATTAAGCTTCTGCAATATAAATGTGTGTCCAAGGAATGCACTAAGAGCTTCTTTACATCGTACAGGGAATAAAGCCAAAATTTTTCAAGGATTTAGCTACTTGACCTCACGATATGGAGTTGAGCATGTCTTCTACTAGAAAAGATTTGATGTTTGTCCATGATTCTCGCAAAGGAAAGGACAAGTACGAACCTAAGATATGGAGTAATAAATTTGTGTCTAAAAATAAAAACAAAGAATTCATCGATGTCAATGTATCACTTTTGAAGTTTACTACAAAGGAAAACAAGAAGCAAAGTTTGAAGATGGCTTTCTAAGAGCGTCCGGATCAAATGTTGACCATGAGGAAGATGCAAAAAAGGTAATACACATTCTTGGATTCCTAAGTTTCGATTTTTTTGACGAATTGTTTGAGCTAAAGATAATTGAGTTGACAGAGATTAAGAAACCTAATAAAACTGAAAAAATCAATGACCCAAACTATTGCAAGTATCATTGACTTGTGGGTTACCCTTTTGATAAATGTTTTGTCTTCAATGATAGAGTTATGCAATTGGCTAATGAAAAGAGAATTATCCTTGACAATGAGAATTCCAGTTCTAACCAAATCTTTATCATATTTGGCTCTCTTGATCTATCACGACCCAGGGGTACACCCTAGATGTAACAAGGTGTACTCATCCCGAATGGGGTCTCATACAAACTCCTTAGCATATCATAACATAAAGCAATAGAAATGATGCAGACATTTTAAAACTTTTTCCATACAATCGAAGTGTTTTATAAAAGCAAGCGGAAGTCTATAACACTTTGTCTCAAACCATCTAAAATAACTTGAATAAATCTTTGGGACACAGCCCATACAAAAATCTGAAACATAAAATAAAGACATAAAAGAAAGGTGATCACATCCTCAATGCTATGAGGACTCACCAAGTCTTCAACTCCTTTCTCTACTAGAAACCTAGCCATGAGAATGGAACTCAATATCGCCGGACCCTACATTTGATGAGAATGTAGGCAAGAGTATGTGTTAGTACAAAATGTACTAAATATGATAGCTAACATAACATCATAAGAGCAAAACATAAGATTTAGTCAACATAAGACATATGCCATAATTAGAAGAGATACTTTATAAAACATAAACTATAAGCATAAGAGACAACAACATAGTCATAGGCATAATCTTTGACATAGGCATAATATAAGCATTAGTCAACCCTTAGTCCTTCATACCATAAAAGGAACACTTCATAAGTAGTTTCAAGTCATACTTGTGCAATGCATGGATAAGACCCCATAATCTCACCATGCTAAGTACCCCTTTAGTCCATCATACATATAGATCATCTCTTTGATCTCATATTTAGCTCATCATTCATAGACAAGGGAATCTTCACCTTTAGTCAAACATATCATGGAAGGCAACTATAGCAACAATCCAATCTAAACATACATAATATAAGATAAACACTTCCTAAGTAACCTCAAGTCATACTTATGCAATGCATTGATAAGATCCCATAATCCCACCCATGCTAAGTACCACTTTAGGTCATCATAATCATACTTCTTGGTTGGAGACTAGTCCCTCTTTTTAAGCCTTGGAAAACTATGAGACACTTGTTTAAGCACATCTTAGTTCCTCATTGTCCCTCTTTTTAAGCCTTGGAAAACTATGAGACACTTCTTTAAGCACATCTTGGTTCCTCATTAATTTGAACAATATGAGATACTTCTTTAAGCATGTCTTAGTTCATTTTTATTGTGAACA